GAGGCATCAGAGGTATTCAATAGGAAAGAGGAAGTCAAGTTATCTCTCTATGCAGATGATATGATGGTGTACCTTGAAAACCCAAGAGAATCTGTCAAAGGCCTCCTTACATTGATAAAAGCCTTTGGCAAAGTCTCAGGATACAAAATAAATGTACAAAAGACAATCGCATTTCTCTACACCAATAATAAACAAACAGAAACCCAAATAAAAAACACAATTCCATCCACAATAGCCACACACACAAAAAAATGAAATACCTTGGCATCTTCCTAACCAGAGACGTGAAAGACCTTTACAATGAAAATTACAAAACACTGCTCAAAGAAATCAATGCTGACACGAACAAGTGAAAAATATCCCATGCTCATGGATCGGAAGAATCAACATTGTGAAGATGTCCATCTTACCTAAGGCAATCTACAAATTCAATGCATACCCATTAATTACCAACAACATTCTTTTCAGACCTAGAAAAAACAACACAGGAATTCATATGGAAACACAAACATCCAAGAATAGCCAGAACAATCCTCAGCAAAAAAAACAAAGCAGGTGGTATCACAATACCAGATTTCAAACTTTACTATAAAGCTACAATCATCAAAACAGCTTGGTATTGGTACAGGAACAGGCATATAGATCAATGGAACAGAATTGAGATTCCAGAAGCAAAACCTCAATTTCTCAACCAACTCATCTTCGACAAAGCCCCCACCACCTACCAATGGGGAGAGGAGAACCTATTCAGTAAATGGTGCTGGGAAAATTGGCTGACCACATGCAGAAGATTGAAACAGGACCCCTATCTATCCCCATGCACAAAGGTTAACTCCAAATGGATCAGAGACCTAAATGTAAAACCTCAAACCATAAGAACCTTAGAAAAGGAAGGAAATACTCTCATGGAAATCGGAACTGGCATCCAATTCCTGTACAAAACCCGAAACCCACAGGACTTAAGAGAGAAGATAGACAAATGGGACCTTATTAAACTGACAAGCTTCTGCAAAGCCAAAGAAACCATCAAGAGAGCAGGGAGACAGCCTACAGACTGGGAAAAAGTATTTGCCAACTCTAGGTCTGACAAAGGCTTAACATCCTGGATCTACAAGGAACTGAAGCGTACTGAAAAGAAGAAAACAAACAACCCCATTATAAAATGGGCAAAAGACATGAACAGACACTTCACAAAAGAAGACATTCGAGCAGCCAACAAACACATGAAGAAATGCTCAACCTCACTAATC